GAGAATTAAAAAAATTAACAAAGTTTCGTTGAGTTAAATAGCGAGAGGATCGTTCTGATATCCTCGTAAAATATGATCGTGTAATTACGTTAACACGAATCAGCGCTAAAAGTGACAAACAACCCTTTGGCTGATCATCAGGCGTGGAAATCAATGTTTTGCGTACAATTATTTGAAAGTCGAAGTTAATTGTTCCGTTCGTCATTAAATAGTCGTTATTTGTTTCTTCGAGAAAAATTTGTTATCTTGATCATGAAGTAAGATCATTAAAATCGGGAATTTTTCCTAATCTGTTGATTCTTGGATTTGTCGATTAGCAATACATGTGTAGATTTATCATCTTTTATATATATACGAAATTTGTCTCTATATTATAAATTGATACTTAATATATTATAAATTGATATTATAAATTGATAAATAAATAATAAATATAATAGATAATGATTCCAAAATGAAAAATTTGAATATAAACTATAAAAATATCAAAATTTATAACACCAAGAGAGATATAATTTAACATCAAATATTATATAGATGTGCATTAATATTAATATGTGAATGCAAATTAAATTATATCATTATGAATTTTCAATTTCATCATAAATTCTCAAAACAAATTTTCATGTATAGAAGAAAGAGAATTTAAGGTCGATGTCTTAATTACCAAGGTTAATGTTTGAAGTAAAATAAGATCTATATTTTATTTTATGAAGTATACATTTAAGATAAATGAAAACAAACATGATACTAAAATAATTTTTAATCATAATATCCTTTATAAATTTACAGGTAATGTATTTCGTCAATTATTAATAATTTAACTTATTTTGGATTAATTAAGTTTAAATATATAAATATTACCTTTATTATTAACATTTTTCGTAATTTTATTATTTTGTTTAAAAAATAAGGAATATTTAAGGAAACCGTTATACTTAATGTGTGCAAATATTAATTAAACTGATGTAGAATCACAACTATTGGCGAATTAGATTCTAAGTAATAAAACAAATTTGAAGTATGCATCCATATGATAACATATATGAGTCATTATTACAAAGAATGAGTCACGAGATAAATGGACAACAGAAATATGTAAAAAAATATAAGGTTCCACTGCATAAAATGAAATTGCATCAATAATACGAAGTGATGATATATTTGATACATCAGCTTCAGCTGGATATCAAACGCAACTAGGAAATACTAAAGTATAAAATTATCCAAGATTACAAAAACGTGCAGATGAAGTCATCAGGAATTCAATTAAGTAATAACAGTGTTTACACATATAAGATTGTAAAGTTTATTTTCATTTTTCAATGTTAAAGTTTAATTTTTAAAAATTTTAGATTTATTCGTAGAAATTCTTATAAATGTTTTATAATAATTAATACTTATATAAAATTACAAACTCAAAGAAGAAAAAAACAAAAGAAATATGCGTTGTTATTTACGTTATTTACAAACAATAATGATTGATTTAATTTGGTTTTATAGAAAAGTAATCATACAAAATAATATAACTACGTCATACGAATAAATTATATAACAAAAAAATTTGATTATTGAAAAACAAACCAAAAAAAGGCATATATGTATAGTTTATGTATATTTTTTTAATTCAACATTGAACTTGATGAAAGGTTGTCAGTGTCGTGTGAACGAAACTTGTCGTACAAGTTTACGCGATGGTTAGTTCTTTTAATGTCCTGCTTTATTTCTCGTATTACATCTCCGTGAACAAAATACCAATGCATTCTCGCTTGAATTTCATGGTGGTACGTTCAGTGGTACCTTCCTGTATACTGTTATCCTGTTACGATGATATCCTGGAATACACGTGTCACATTGTTGGCCGTATAATGATAAAATAGAAAATAGGTATTTGAAATGATTCATTGCATATTTCTTGATGATAAAAAAAAAAATCTCAATTAATAATATTTTTTAAATACAAGATTCTTAACGTATCATCACGATTAGAGGATAATCAGTAATGCGAGAATTCTTTCTTTTAGAAAACTATCTTCTTACTGTATCGATGAATACACTTGGAAAATGTAGTGAATATTTTTTTATATTTTATATAATTTAAATTATTTCTTTTATCAAATATAATAATGGAAATAATAACATTATGTTGAATTATATGTGACATCATATTTTATGTGGTATTATTTAAATTACTAAAATTATTTACTTAATCAATTTCTGATATTTTAAATTAAAAATAATTATAGAAAGAATTGTATTATAACGTTAGAAAATGTTAATTTGATACATAAATATGAAAATGAAAAAAAATTAACTCATTAATCGCATATATGGAGACATCTGTAGAAGAAATAATAAACCCGTTTGTCATCTACACAGAAATAGTGATTCAAATACTATATCAGAAGGTACGCATATTAGCATAAATGATAGTGAATAATTTGAACTATAGCGAACTTCTTTACCGATTGACTGATTCTTCTGTATCGACTGTGGAAAAAACATCCCATGCACAAATGAAATGATTCTGACCACGTGGTTATTTCATATATGTGCCATATATGAATTAGAATAGATAAAGATAATCGTTTTAGAAGTACCATGAAAAACAAATGTTGCTTATTGTTTACAAATATTATTAGTGAATAATATGAAATTATTTTCAGAAACTTTTTTTAAACATAATTTTTACAGAATTTTTGGTCTACTACGTAAGTAGTAGAAGTAAGTAAAAGTCAGACAAATGCAGCGATAGAGCATAATATAACTATTTGGTTTCTTAGACAAATTAAAAAACGTTCAAACAAATAAATTAACATGTTAAATTTATATTTTTGAACTATATTTTTATATCTATTTTCCAATATATATGTAAATAAATATAGAAAAGACTATATTCATATATATTAAAAATATAAAAATTTGCGATACAATTTCAATTTATTTTATTTAATATTGCCATTTGCCATTGTGCATAAATTTAAAATAATATTTGTTTTCGATGATTCAATAGTATTCAAATTGAAATTAAGATGCAGCTTAACTGACAACTAACCTAACTACGTCAGGCTCGATTTATCGATTTCTAACTTCGCGTCGACCTTTACAGGAGTTTGTGCCAATTTTAGCAATCGTGTTAAATACAATTTAAAATATAAAGATAATATGTAATTTTTGTTATACATATATATATGAAATTCATTTTATATATAATTATTCGAAATTTTAATTTTACTCTGATTTTATAAAAATAGTTAAACAATAAAATTAATTTTGAGAGTATTCGCTATGCTACGTAAATTTTGTATTACGCATTTTTTATATCTAAATCATTTTAATTATTTATGCATACATTATATAAAGATTTTTAATTAGTTATTCTCAAGATTATTCTTATAATTAAATACCTATTGTATTACGTATTGTATTATTATTTTTATCTTTATAAAAATACTAGATATATCCAATAAAAATACTAGATTTTATCCAATAAGTAAAATTTTGTAATCAACAAATTTTTTATTTGTATTTTTATCGTAAGTATTATCAAATCAAATGATTAATTCTTTCACAATTCTTTATAGATCGATAATTGTATAAAGATATAAAAGAACAGATAAATAACTTTTAATAACAGATATAAAAGATATAAAAGATATAAAGATATAAAAGAACAGATAAATAACTTTTAATAAGAATTTTATAAAATGATTACGTTTACTACATGTGTAATTATTAATCTAAATATTAATTCATAATTCAGCATATGAAATTTAATATCATAAAATAGACCTCCAACTTTAATTGCTGTATTTCATTTAAAGGTATTCAGGTCATTTTTATTAGCACAATAAAACTCTTTTTTGCCACGTTCGTTCGTAGCGTTGCAAACAGAATTGCACGCAAACAGAACAATAAAGAATATTTAACAATTCAAAATTTATAATTTACGAATAAATTTATTTAATAAAATAAGAAATTTAAAAATTCGAATTATTATTTTTTGTTCTCGAGATATATAAAAACGATTGAATAGATATATAAAAACGATAGAAATGATTGAATTAATAATTAATAAAATCGCAAAAAAAAAAATTTGATATCAAATTCTGTAGATTTGATATTAAATTTATAGTACAATGTCCCATGTGTAAACATGTGATGTCATAATCTTATTCATGCATTTTAAATATTCAATACATTCGATGTTTCGTGTCACGTGTTACAACAGAAACCATACTACTATATGATTGGTAGGGAATAAGGAAACGAAAATAATGTTATTATTGGATTGAGTTTGCTATTTAGAACGATCGAAGCAAGTCTTGTTCAATTAATGATAGTATCGATACGTTCGATTTTATGATACGTAATGTGCTGATCGTAGAGAGAACTTACGGTTATTTACGGCCAGTAGTCAAGGACTTTCTCTTACATAATACTGATTTACACCAGTTGCAGTTATGTTATCCGCACAACAATAATTATTACGCCGCTATACGTAGAAGAATGGGATCACGATGTTTGACGATTTTTCTAGTTCAGAAATTTCGATAACAAGGGAAATACTATTAATATCTATTGCGTACTTGATGTGAACCGGCTCCTAGAAATATATTTCTAAACACGCTAGAAAATAAGGTGCAGCAACGATCTAAAAACAAACTTCTTACCAGGAAGTTACTATAAACATCGCCTACATTTACGAAAAGATATAAACTTGGCAATTTTATTATTACGTTATTTCCGAGGAAAGAAATAATACAAACTTATTAAATGTATCCTAGATACTTTGATTCAAAACTTAGATCAAATATATCGATAAAATATACTGATAATAAGTTATAAGATTAATCGGTTATCAATAGAAAATAAAATTTAATCGAAAGGAGAGATATATAAAAGATTTATTTCAAAAAATTAACACGTCTCTTTGAAAGAGAAATAATAAGAATGATAAGTAGAGAGAATTGGATCTTAAAATTTGAAAAACAACATACCTACTCCAAGTCCTAAGAATTTCGTCCAATAATAAGATAGACGAGGCAATGCACGTATCCAAACAAACTTCTTTCGACGTTTACGAGTAAAAGTCGAGGTGGATCAATGGGATATAACGATCGCACGAATACTGCGGCTTCACTTCGGTCGATGTCTCTAGATGCTTCTCGTAAGACTGGTATCTTTTCAAGGACGGAATAACGGTGCCAGAAGAGCGAACGACGACACTGGTAAGCCTGTTAAATGGCCGGCCACTCTGGGTCCTATCTGTTCGACATACGCGAGAGAGGAAAAACTGGGAGACGAAACGGCGTGGCGCTAGGCGCGTGTCTCGCGGCACGGTTTCCGGTTCGGCGGAAAAATTGGGGAGGGCACGCGTGACTGAGTTTGCGAACGACGCTAGAAACGAACTGGCGTCGCGAGAGATCGCGGAGAACAAGACGGTCGTGCATATCGGTCTAAGTTAGCTTTGGTATTGGTACTAGCGTATACATAGGCGCCTCCTCCGCGCCTGCTATGTAGATATGTTCTGTAGATGTGTTCTGCTTGTGACCGTGTTCAGAATCGCGTGAGAGTGGGGCGTCTGCGCGCTCTCTCTCTCTCTCGCTCTCGTTGACGACCTTTATTTGCATGGAAATTAGTGCGCGGGCGTATGTATACCACTTTCATGTAAATCGGGCCTTTGAGTAAAAACATTGGGAATTTGTCTCCCTCTCTTTCTCTTTTCGTTCTTCTACGTAAGTAATTTAAAGATTGACAATTAATTACAAGTGATTGAGAGATATCGTTTTTTACTGGTATTATGTCTCGAATCGAAATATTTTAATTAGTGACACAATTGTTAAGATTTCGAGGTTAGGAAATGATGAAACTGAAAATCATTTGGCTATAATAATTTAAATCACCCGTTGATTGTTATTTTTGAATAAAAAAAATTGGAGATGGTTTAAATGCAATTTACTTTTTATCGAAGCATTTTAAAAGTTTTATATTAAATAATATTTGTTTGCATACTTATGTTTATTTAGCGGTTATTATATATACAAAATATGTTGTAATTCTTATTTGTTAATCATATAAGATTTTTATAATTATTATTTATAAATATGTTGTTCATAAATTTGTTCGCATTTTAGATAAAATTTTTCTGCATTGGTTCTATTTGGTATGCTATGAGAAAGAAAGGATCTTTGTATTAGTTACAAGTTGATGTAAAATAGTACTTACATAATCAAAGTGAGCTCGAGCGAGATGAACGATTTACTATCAAGGCTGAAAACATTTAATAAGGAAATTCCCGAGTAATGATTATACATTTTTATTTTTAATTTAATTAAGCATTGATATCTTAACAGAAGTTTAATAATTACGCAATGATGCATTTCAATGGCATGTTGCTCATTAAATAAATAAGAGCAACATACATGCGTACGTAATATAGTTTGATAATGATATTATTTTTTTTTTTAGATATAACAGTTTACAAATTTCTCGGAATTTAAAATATTAAATTAGTAATAATAAAATTAATTATATTGTGATATTTTATCAATTATTTTTTGTTCATAATTTTATGAGAAAATAAATTGGGGTAATATATTTGGAAAAATAACAAATAAATGGATGTCTACTGATAAATTTAATTAGTAAAATCTTACGTGTATTTTGGTACTTGTTCAATTCTAAGAGTTCATCTAAAATTAAAGTGTTAGATACGTCTATCTATAATAGTATGTCTATCTATTAATAGATATCTTTACGTATCTAAGAATTTGTAGATATATATATTGAAAAATACTTTTTAAGTAGTCAGTTAAAATCATTAGAACGTATCTAACAATGTAACGTAGAATGATGCAATTTACGTACTTAAAAATTCTATTCTACAGAATGTAAATTAACTTTCTAAAAATCTAATCTAGCATTATTGCGTTATTTTATTAATATTTAATATCGATTCTTTGGAAAATATAATAAGATAAAGGCGTGGAAATTCACAGGATGCAAAGGATTAAGATTATAAAATTAATGTTTATAATTAATGTTTATAACGTTCCGCTTGGTGTAATTCAAAGAACAATTATTTAAATTCTTCGTTTGGAAAAACCCTGCAACATTAAAATACTTAATTAATTATAGTCAATTTCAAGATAATATAATATCTCCTAAGCACCAACAAATTATTGGATTAATACAGAGAAAAATTGTAGAGGCAATATTTTATAGAATATATATAGCGTAGAACGTTTTTTAAAACTTTAACGTTTTAGAATTTATAAAAATATATATTCAGATGTTTGTCAATTGAAATCCGTTTCAATGACGAGTATAGAATGGTTCGTCATTGATTCTTTCAGTGTGAGCTGATTCTTGGAAAAACTATCAGGTTGTCTCGTAACTCGTTCCTTGGAAGCGAATCCCTATGAATTTTCATGATTTGCTGGAATTGTCGACACTTTACGCAGAACCAGGTTGTGTCTTCCACGATTTCATTCTCGTACGGGTTACGTGGAACGAGTTCCCTAGAAAAGTTGAACGTATACTAAAAACATGCAGGTAGAAATATTGTCTCGATAAATTTTTACTTAGATCAAAGAAAAAAAAAAAAATAGAAGGATAAATCTTAGAGACGAGATAAATTAATACGGATTATATTTTTATAATATGAAATTTCCACAAAATTAAACATCGATTGCAACAACAATATTATTTCATCTTTCAATTTGACCGTGAGACGATCGATAAGCTTACAGCACATTGGTGTACCGGGGAGAGTAATTGTGTCAGTGAATGGTTTAACAGGTACGAACCAATGGCAGAACTCGTATCTTCTGGTGCCACGCCCCATCAGCCTCCAACAGGTCAGTACCTGAACCAGAATCCTGGCAAGCAGATTTAAAATTGTCCTCGTTGCTCCATTCTGTATCATACTTCTTTCGAAAATATCAGATAAACGAGCACTATTTTACCATATTAATGTTAAAAATATCGTACAATTTCAACAGATAATTAATAACTTATATTAGGAAAACATAACGAAATAATTTTCATCGATTAAACGACCAATAGCACAAATAATAGTAGTAAATTTTTGAAACATATTCGTGTAACATTGTTATTTCGTTCATTGTGTTCTTCTTTATAAAGAAAGTTTATCTATTGTAAACTTTTAAAACCACGAAATTGGAAGATTGTTCTCTTCTCTCAAAAAGAGAATGAAATTGATACACAATTCGTTTCGAAAGTTGCGTCAAGAGGTGGCGTTTGTGCGGATTGGACAATTTATAGCGGATACCAAATACAGCACATGGAGAAACTTAAGCTGATCCTGAACGAGGCTCGATACCAGAAGAGCGGCGAGTTGTGACAACTTCTTGGAAAAGATTAGGCGTCGTTAGCGGCCTTCGCCGGGCGTCGACCCGGTCGGTAGTCAAGTAGTCTGTCTCAGAATCAATGTTGCTCAACTTTCCAGACGTCTAAACGTCAAATCTTTTTCCACGATCGTTTAAACAACGCTCGATTCGATATTTCGACGATTCGTTACAATTTAATTTCATTCATTTTTTAGAATATGAAACGATCATAAGTTTTGGGAAACGTAACGTGGTTTGGTGAGCAGTGTCCCCAAGTCCCGCGCGCCATTTTGGTACCACTCTATCTAAGGCCTAAGGTATAGCCATCTCAACAACTCGAGTAAAAATTACAATTACGCGATTGAAATTCGAATCTTGAAACATTTTAGATTAACGTTAAATTGAATTGGATCGTTATTCGATTCTTGCAAATGCTTGTTCTAATTCTCAACAAATTGATCCTTTATTCCTCGCGAGTTTCAAATGTTTCGAAAATATTTTTTAAATTTCGAAGGATTTTAAAAATCGTGTCGAGGTTTCGAGCGGGCTGTCTGTCCCTGCTCGCAACACTTTAATTAAACGTTGTCAGAAATGGAAACAGGCGGTTGTCATCGGTGTTTTACGGTGAGAAGCACACGAGCCCTTACAAATCGGTCCGGACAAAATCTTTAGAGAGGAAAGAAAGAATGAAAGTAATGTCGTAAATCCTTTTGCGGGAGGTTTTCGCCGCTGCATCGCGAGCACTTGTGCAAGAATCTCTCGTAAGTCAATCCACTTCCCCTCCGATGGTTCGCAGGTTTCCCACTCGGCGGCCATCTCTCCCACCAAATCTGTCCGCCAAGAATCCACGGAACGTTGGAAGGGATGGATCTGCCCTCCTCTTTGCTTCAGAAATCTTTTACTACATCGGTTAGGTGGAGAGGAACCTTGTACTACAAGATGGGTAATTTGTCGTTTTAACGGCAGCTCACGCCGACGCAAAAATCTTGTCCTTCGACGAAACGACGACGAACCTACCAGATTTTCTTCTTCGTTTTTTTTTTTTTTTTCTTTTCTTTTCTTTCACGCCAACGAGTACTATATTCCGTACAATGTAAAGAATAATATCGTTTCCATTGTTTCCGGGTTCCCCTGTGAAGTAAACGCGCCTCGAGATAAGCGAGAGTTCTCGAGTCATTATCGAGTCTATTCTCGCTCGCGAAGCGTTCTTTAAAATAAAATTGAATTTGATAACGCGGCTCGAGAATCGGCGCGAGACATATATATATATATATTTGACGAAGATAAATTTAATAAAGAACGCGGAACTGAGAAGAGAGTTTGCAAACAGTGCGCGTTTCCGATCTCTTCGGCTTATCAGATGACCGGTATATGCAAACGTGGATAATTAAGCAAAACGATTGAATTTACATAACAATCGAAGCAAAGCTCCTTGACACGAAAAAGCAAAGTATGACGCAAAGAAATATGTAAAAAGTTTTTAACGAAAGGCGCTAACGGCGCGTTTCTGCGTCGCCTGGTTAATTAGAAGAATTAATTAGCATCGATAAGTAGCATAATTAATATGCGCAACCGAGGCGCCTTCCTCCGGATGTCGACGCGGTGTCGAAGATGTCGCGATTTTCGGCATCGTGGAACGGACTCCCACACCTCTATCTTCGACCACCTACGGCGATTCGTGCATCACATCGAATTACCGGAATAACGAACCGCACGAATAACCAATAACTTTCTTTTCCTTCTTTCTTTTAATTTTTTTCTCAATTTTTAACATTGTTTTTATTTTCTATCGAATAGAATCTAGAAATCGAAAGTCTCTTTTCAGTAGAAAGATTACGCGTATATTTGAACAGCTTCGTGTACGCATAATTATATTTACGATTTTTTTTTATATAATTTTATCGAGAAAAATATGCATTAAAAGTATAAATCAATACATACATATATATAAACAGATAACGCGTTGGCGTAGCGAGGATACTAATACTTATCGCATTACGTTCTGGCTACTTCTCAATGACATTCCACGAGTTTCATTCATCGATGCGCCTTGTCACCACGCTTTATTATTTTCGGTTCTCACATTGCGGTTATCATACGATCCATGAAATTATATAATTTTGAGGTAAAATCTACGAAATTCTGTGGCTCGTTTATAAGAAAATGTGGTAAAATAAAACAATTTCGATCGTAACGTAACGTGGATAGAAATATTTCGTTCGATTATATCAATTCCAATTCGAATTAGAATCAACTTTCGTTAACGCATCTGTTCAATCAAGCTTTGTATATAACTACTAACGTATATAAATTAGTGGGGAAAAATTAGTGGAATAATTAGTG